CTTGACCGCTAATGCTGATACTATTGTTTGATGTAAATAGAAAAATGCATGTCTTGACCCTCAGTAGAGGGCCTAGATAAGCAGTTCCTTTATCTAATTGAGCTAAAAAGATAAATACGTATTCAATAGAAACAACACCCAGTGGTCTGTCCTGTTCCATGTATATCTCCCTGCAGAAATAATGCACGGTTGGAGCTCATCAGAACCAGATCTTTGGCATAAAGCATCTTCCACAAATGTGGCTGCAATGAGCAATATGCAGATTTGAAAAATGTGTATGCTGGCTCCAGGTTTGCTGAATGTTACTGTAGTGACTAACTGGCAACTGCAGCAGACTTTATGTGGAAATATTTTCTGGAGGAGACAGGGAATTTAGCTGGACTCAAAGCTAATGGGAGAATTTCTTCCAGCTTGGATACCTCATCAAAATGTAGGCAAGAACTTCAATTTTAGAAAGTCATTGAGCTTCAGAGTCGTTCATGTCTAAGCTCTGTATGAGCTCGGTAGTGTTTAATGCTATATTGTTGGGTGGGAATGTGGATGACTTGCAGATGGCTGTTGGATGTTTTGGCTGCATTCTCCAGAGTCGAAACCTGCTTTCAAACTGAGCATTTGGGTGAAAGATGAAACCTTTTATTAGGGAAACGGGCCCACAGACCGTTCCTGCCCTCTGCCCAGTTTCTGAGGAAATGTGCAGCGGAGGATCTTGAATCGCAACAGGCTGATGCCCTCTAATGATCTGGAGAGGATGGGCAGCGGCAGATCGTACAGAGGGCTGGGACAGCAATGCCCCTTGTTCTTCCTCCTGTTTTGGATTAAATCAAAAAGGATGAATTTCTGCGTGTCTCGTCACTGGAGGTAAATGCATCTGTTGATCTCATTTGGTTGGGAAACAGTTAAAGCAGCCAGTTGCTCCTAGGAGCCTTAAACAAAAATCAGAACACCACCTTTCTCAAAACAATTCAAACATGCTCAACCTTGTGGCTTCAGCAGAAGCAGCAATGTGTGAGTTCCCATGAACTCTGGCTAACCTCTGAGATTTATTGATAAATGAAAAAAATAAGGGGCCAGGCCCTGAAACCTTTCCTTACTTAGGCACTCATCTCAGTATGTTAACAAGAAGCCCAGGGCTGGAGTCAGGATGTTTACTGCTTTTAGAGATGTCAAGGAAAATATACTCGAAACAGTTTGAAAAAACAACGTAAAGGAGAGAAACCTGTGGGTTTTGTTCTGACTGCCAGCGCAGTTGTAGTATGTGCATTAAAGCAAGCGTAACATGGAGCACGTTACCCTGCTCAGATAAGCTGCCATGGGTATTGATGGTTCTTCTCCACATAAACACCCGTGTCCTCTGAAAGCTTCAGCCCTCTCAGTGTGGAGTCTTGCAATAGCACACTCGCTTTTTTAGGTGGTGGTGCCGAGTTCAACAGGGTGCCAGTGTGCAACCACTGCTTACAGGGACTGCTGGTGTTTGGGCGAGCTGTTGGGTGGCTTTGCCTCTGCCCCTGTTTTTCATAACTCACTGAATAGACGGTGAAGTTCTGGGGAGGCGAAGGAATAAAATTTAGGATGTCTCCAGTGTTCTCTGATTATTTTGTCTCCACTGACTGCACCTTTTCCTTTGGCAATATTTAAAGGGAAGGTTTTATTTGTGTGTGTCGGGATGATGTCGGAGGTAAGGAGAAATGATGGGGTGTGCTGTGTAATTCTGCCACATTGTTTGTTGCATACATTAGCAGGTGCAGAGGCTTTTGGGATGTATTGCTCTACGACAGTGATGAATCCTTTACTTTGGGGAAAATGTACAACTGTAATCAAAAATAAATCTGCCAAGATGGCAGTAAAATTAGTATCTCATGATGAAAATGTCTTTATATAGATATATAGCTGTAGATACATATTTAGCTACACTCTCCAAGATACTTTTTTTTAATACACAATTTTAAACTAATTCATCCCTTTTAGATAATTGATGAAAGGCAGATGTAAATGTATAGATATGTTTACACCTTTTCATGAGGTTAACTGCAGCCCTCTGCATTACCCTGCACAAACTTGGGGGGGGGGGGAAATGAGGTTCTCGAGCTTGATACAACTAAGACATGTGTAAGAGTCTTTTCAAAAGGCGTGATTGTGAGTTAAGAATTAGAGCAAACCAACAGGAATGAGTTTTTACTGCTTCTTTCCTTTTAGCCTCTTGAGAAGGGTTTGGATTCTCTGGTGGATTGAACCACTCTATTTTGTTCCAGGATAAAGGGGTCTAAAAGAACATAAGGGTGTGAAGTGCACGTAGTGAACAGAATTTACTTCTACATAAAGGCTGCTTTACCCAGTCAGAGAGTATTTATTGCAGGTGAGCCTGTGCAGAGGGATGGTTGGATGTGAGCCTACGTGTTTCCCTCAGGCTGGTAGTAATTTTGCAGGCTGTGAGGAAGACGGGGCACTGAGACAAGGCGCGAGGCACGATCCTGCCCTCTCTGCGCAGACCGAGCTCCTCTCGTCCAGCAGTCAGCCCAAGTGCAGACATGGGAGCTTTTAGGAGCGTGGGAGCAGGATCGAGTTGTGCATCTCAGTTAACAGGGACACATTTGTTGTGCAAAGGTGAATCACGACCCACAAAACAAACGGGCTTGCTGTTCTCTTTCCCATAAATGCTAATTTTTCCAAACCTTTTTGGGGGGGGATTTAGTGTTCTCATTTACCATGGTAAAAGTGAGTGAGAGCAGCAGGTTTGCATGCAGTGGAAATAACTGTGGCTGCAAAATAACAGATGTTTCTTACACAGAAGGACAATTTAACCAGGTATCATGCTTTGAAATCAAAACTGAATGCCAAGCCTTTCCCCCTTCTTTTTCTTATGAATATTCAGTATCAAGTGCAATGCTAGCCTAGTACTGATTGATTATTTTTTTTTTCAGTAAAGAAGCACATCTTCATGCTTCACTGTAATTATGAAAATCAGTGTTGATTCTTGACATCATCCTTTGCAGAACGTACAGCAGCCCAGGAGAGGCTCGTTGTTTCAATGGGTTGGTTGCCTGCTATGTGTGGTGGCCGGAGATGTGGAATTATCAGCGTGCTTGACTCCAGACAAACTCTGGAGTTAAGTCAGGGTGCCAGCGTGTCTAGCATGACTGTATTTTGTGGAATGCCCTCTCTCGCTATATTGCCAAGACATTCAATGCCTGGAAACATTTGCAAACAATGGCCTCCAACAAAGAGCCGTGGCTGTGCAGAGGAAGCTCGCTAACCAGGATTGACGTCAGCTGGGATGGATGCTGACCAAACACCACCATCTCCTGGGCTAGCACTCCTCACTGCCCACTGCACTCAGCCACGGTGGTGTGTGTGTCGGGGGCCTGGTGAGGGTGTGTCCCATTTGTCTTCCTCCTGAGGTCTGTGATAATATATGAATCCTATCATTCTAGTTTACGAGAAAAATGGGAAAGAGGACACTGACACAAAAACTCAGCAGGATTTAGTTTTCTGCAAAAGAAAACGTGGCTGTGACATATCGCCTGAGAACGAGGAATCATTTTTCTTTGATGCAAAATTGCTTAGTCTTAGAAATCACACTCGCATGCAATTTTGTGCAGATAGGACCTGGGTTTTAAAATGACATCAACCTAGCTTTTAATTTTGCAGGTGTAAATTGCACCTGCAAATCATTTTGTCTGCAAACTGCAGCATTTCATATTTGATTTCCTGATTTTCTATGGCTTGCTTAACTGGTGTCAGTTAGTTATTTCGATATACAGCTTTGCAGGCACTACTATTTCAGGAACAAAATTGCAGTCTCAAAGCTTCAAACCCATTTCTGAACATTTGATGGAAGCGAGGAGTTAGGATGTGTAGCCAATCCACTGTTCATACAAATCTTTTGATACTATCCTCCAGTATGAGATTAGAGTTGGTTATCATGGCAAAACACTGCATCTGCAGCATCAATTGAGCAACTTGATCTAACCAAGCCAAGAAACTCTGTAATTTACAGCAAGATTCCTGGTTCTGTTTCTCATATACATTCTTGTGAACCACATTTTGTCAGTCTCAGTATCAAGGTTGCTCTTTTAATAGCTTTATTCCCTGTTACCTTCCTTTTCCTAGCTTTGTTTTCAAAAACTAGCTGCTTACCTAGTCTAAAATTACCAGTTATCTGTTGCTTAAGAATGATCTTGGGGTGTGGGCATTTCACTGGTGAAGCGTGTGTACGTATGTAGGCACGCACGCAGTCGAAGCCCTGGGAGAGTTCCTCCCCACCACCACTGAAGATTACATTTTAAATACAAAGCCTCTGTGTGCTTTTTGGGAGGTAGCTGAGATCTAGTTAACTCAGCTGCAGTAAGAATTTTAAAAACTAAGCATTTCACAGTATACAGCCTTTTTTTTTCCCCCCCAAAAAAAGAAAAAAAAAAAAGGCAAGAAAGTACATACAGCTTTAGTTTCTTGGCAGACACGTACAGGTTGCCAGATTGATGTGCTGAAACCCAGAGTTTTCTTTACCCCGAGGTGAGCCAGAACATGCGGGGTGGGGAGGTGGGGACAGTGCCAGCTACCCAGCGCCTGCCTTCCCCAGCACGCGTCAGCCCTGGGTTGCAGGAGGAGGAGGAGGAGGAGGTTCTGGTTAGGTCACCCTGGGCCTGTGCGGAGACTTCCTAGAAGAGGAGGCTTGCAGGGCATTGGACAGGGGTTGGATGGAGAGCCATAAACTCATGCTATGTTGTGCTCTGGCAGCAGAGGTCTCCCAGCGTTGCTGCTTGCTTTGTGCTAAAGGGGGAAATTCAACCCTGCAAAGGTAACTCAGTTAACTTTAGAGCGTGGTAAGGGTATGGGTCTGATAACACATCACTAAACTTCACCTTGGCAGTTCTGTATCACCAAAAGGTTGTTGATACATGACTGAAAGCAAGTACTCAAGCGCAGTTGTTATATGCCTAATTTGTTACTGTATACGTAGTTTGCATACATGTTTTACTTACAGTCTTTTGTTATTTTAACAGGGTCGCCATGTTAAGACTGGGCAGCTAGCAGCAATCAAAGTGATGAATGTTACTGAGGTGAGTGCAAAATCAAGAATAAAAAAGTTGTTATCAAGGTGCAAGGAAAAATAAATAATCAGATCATGAGAAGGTGAATAGCTTATAAAAGACGATCCAGTGGTATAAATTATGGTTGCTGAGCACCGGTTTGTGTTTTATAAAGTACTGAGAGATGTTAATACAAGCAGATTTTTCAGCTGTACCTGACCAATGGTGACAAAGCAATAAGGGAATGCATTGCCATATATTTTGATGGTCTATAATAACAAAGAGGAGAACTCTCTTCCTGCTTACTTCTAGTTGATTATCTGTTTCCAGAGATAGCAAGTAAAAGATTTCCTGTAGCTCTGCACTGCCCCTGCTGTGTTTCATCACATCCTCTCCCCTCTCGTGCCAGCCATTTCTCAGAGTAGCTACCCTGACAGCTAGCTAGCAGGGACATGTTAGAAATGCAAATGTAGCACTTCTTTATTGTTATTTGACAGATGAGAGAGGGAGACGGTTTAATTGGCACTGTCCCTGCTCACATTTATAAAGCGGTGTCAGTGCTGGAACAGGGTGTTGAAAAAGTTGCTAAGTATTGATTTTTATTTCTCGTTTTAAGAGCGCAGCCAGTAGCAAAGCAGCTTGCCTCCTTGAGGCCGTATTAGCCTGAGCCCCAGAAAGGCTGGGGAGACCCCCTGCTTCCTCTTCCCGAGTTTCCTGGAAGTCTGCGGTTTGGTAGGATGCACCTAGTCTCAATGAAGACCAGCTCCCTGTTCTGTCGCTCTGTCAGCGTAGGTATGGAGTACAAAACTCCGAGATAAACTTAGAGTCCTCTTGCGATATTCTGGAAGGGTTATTGCCTGAAATAAAAACCAGGGCCAAGTCCTCTGGGCCAAGTCTGCCAGTGGTACATCTATACGTGGTGTTTTGGGCAAGCACAAGCAAGCCTTGCCTGCATTTTTGTATGTCTTTTGATTGTCTTGGAACACAGCCGAACAAGTCGGTGTCTGCCTGGGCCTTGTCACATAGAGCAGGTCCAGGACAGTTCTCTCTGCTGATGGTGTAGGAATCCAGCCCAGAGCAGCAAGTGGTCTGCATTGCACATTGGTTTTTTGAACTTAGATGCTACTGTAATGCTTTTACAAAGCGTATCTAAGGGCTGGTTTGGCTATGGCTGCTGCCTGTAAGATGTGCATGTGTAGTTGAATTGCCAGTTTTGCTCTTTTCTGTCCGCAGAGGAGGGTGCGTTTTTTAAATGAGTACTACATTAGATTGGTGGGATTTCTGCTTTTAGCTCTATAGGTACATATATCATCAGGTGCTTTGGCTTTAAAAAATGGCAGCCACCAAACATGAGGCTGCTGGATTTTGGAAGGGAGAAGAGGGTAGGGTGTGGGTGGCAGACAGATTCCTGAGATCAGAGTGCTTCTGTCTTTGACAGAGGAGCTGACAGAACAGATCCTGGCAGGGACTCGGAAGTGATCCAGAGCTTCTCTACAGACTGCTTTCATGCTTTGCTGGGCCAGTCAACAGCGCGTGAGGGCTGGCCAAAGATGTGACTTGTAGACCATCATGTTAACACCAGTGACAGTCCCTTCCTTGATGGAACAGTTGAAGCAAAAACTGCAGGAAGGCAACCTTGGAAAGATTTCCTTCCCTTTGCTATACATAACACCATCTCCTTTGTATGTAAGTAGCAAACTGTACCATCCAGTAATGCCTACTTGCTTGGAAACAAAATTTAAATGGAGGACAACCTCGTGGTCCAGCTTCAGGAACTCATGTTGGTATAACTGCATGATTCCAGGAACAAAAACCAGCTGTTTAGGTCTGATTTGCTGCTTCCTTGCAGGCTAGAGAGCCAGTATCATACTGGGGAACCTGTCCCATTGCTTGAGGGGCAATGATAACAGATGATGCTGTTTTCATGTTGAGTCACTTCATGCGAAAGCAGTTGTGACGGTTTGAGAGTTGAGTGGTGAGCATGTTGGTGCAGCCACCCTGGAGGGGTTTTCCCTGGTGCTCTTGCCCCACTAAACCCTGAACAAATCCAGTTCAGTTGTACTTGAGTGTTTCTGCTTTCTGACCTTGGTGCAGGGTGAGTGCAGGCTTTCTGCTGTTACTTCCACTTTCTTAATGTGGGGTTGGCTGTGTTCCCGCTGCTGGGGCCCAGGCTGGCAGACCTGGATGCAGTCTTCTGCTTTATCACTGGTTTCCTCCAGGCCCGCAGCGGTGCCTCTGCAAGATGTTGGGAAACCAGTGCAGGAGTGATTCAGGCGGTTGGTACCAGTAGCTGCCGGTTCCTCCTGCAGCTAGCTGTCTGCTCTGCCCTGCGGTTGTCCTCTCCTCAGGCACCACATCTCACAGCTCGGTGTTACGGTAAACCCCGATTGCTTTCAGTGCAGCGGGCCGTGGGCGGCTGTGTGCAGTGGCAGGGTGGGGTTGGCAGCTGCGGTCCTGAGCCCTTCAGATACCTCGGTGCAAATTCCCAGAGTGCTCGGGGTGAGCCGCAAGAAATGGGGTTACTGCTGGCCTCCTGAGCTGATCTGTCTGGCCAGGTATCGTGCTGCTGGTCTCTTGTAGCACAGAGTAGGTGGGGTGGTGCAAGCCAACGCAT